CCCTCTCTCCCCCCCCAAAAAAAATACACAGAGAGAGGCCCAGGCAGGAGCCCAACTCCTCCTTATGCACCACACGTACCAGGGCAGAAAAAGTGCAAATTGGATAAAAGTCCATCAAACGCCTGCAATTAAGTTATTGATTTTCAACGCTGCCTCATTAAACAGGGTGCTTCACTCCGACTGTCCCCTGATGGGTCTAATTTGACATCATGTTCAATTTGACAGAAGGGACCCCGGGGCGTGAACAGCAGGATGTGCCTCAGGTGGGGAGGGGAGCAGGGGGGGTGCAAGTGGGTGGCCAAAAAAGCAGGCAGGTGGTGGTGGTGGTAGACTGTTGGGGGGAGAGGAACGCAACAGCCCTAAGGCTCTGCTGGAACAAGCAGCCCCCCCCGTACAGGGAAGGGTTGGGGGGACCCTGGGGGGGCATGTTTACCCCTGGCCCTTGCTCAGAAAGGCTTCAGAATGAAGATCAGAAGGAAACCGTCAGGAGGGAGAGCTCAGCTCGCTTCCGTTCGGAACCAGGAGGGAACTGAAAGGTTCCCCCACCGTCTCTTATGTGTGGGGGGGCCCAGCAGGAGGTGGGCCTCCCCCATGGCGAGTGGGGAAGCTCCCCAGGTGCCAGGCGAGCAGAAGGCCCTGCCGGGCTCAGGATCCCTCCCCTCCCACCTTCCGAGCACAGACAAGCGCTTGTGGGCCCTGGGGGGGGGTCCTCAGCCGTGACGCCCCCGCCCCCACCCCGGGGGCCAGCCAAGCCTTGGCCCGGCCAGCCCCACAACCAGCTGGCCCCCTCCCTTCAGCTTCCCTGCTAGCTCTGGCTAGGTGCCGCCGGGTGCACCCTTGAGGGTGCCGACCAGATGCCAAACAAGCCCGCCAGTCTGGCCTTCTTAGAAGGGAGATACGACTCCGGAGGAGACTCTTCTGGCCACGGCTCCTCCTCCTTACATACCTTGCCACCTGCCGGGCCAGGTATGGGCAAAAATAGTAGCAAACAAGCCACGCCACATCCCACCCAGTCAGCTCTTTAAATGGAGCGGAGGGGGGTCCATGGGAGGAAGAGCCAGCTTCCAAATTTTAGGGGACCTCGTAAAGCAAACCACACATTGCCTCCTCTTACTGGGGGCGATGGGGACGTTTGTGTGCTGTGGCTCATTGACTTCTATCCTGCCACCACCACCTCCTCCAACAGCTCATCTCTTTGCTTCTCACTTTCCTGTCAGCAAAGCGGAGCAAGCGCTGCGGATCCTCCATCCTGGGAGAACAAGTGGAGGGCAGGGAAACCGGCTTCAAGGGGCCTGATCCTGCCGATGAACACAAGGAGCACTTTGGGGGTTGGCTCCCTCCTCTCCGGCAGCGGTCCGTCCCAGCTCAGGACCCAGGAGGGGGGTGGCATCTTGGAAGGATCCTGGTGCCCCTTCCTCCAGCAAGCCCCCCTCCCCGGCCACTAATGTCCGCAGTTCCCTGGGCCCAGGAGGCTCACAGAATGGCCCATGGCTGGGCTCTGCCACTCCCTGGCATGGGCCCGTGCTTTGCTCCTGGCCGAGGAAGGCCCTTTTTGGGTAACACCTGGCATGTCTGGAAAAAGAATCCACACACCCCCACACCCTTCTACGCTCTGCCACCCCAGCCGGTTGGTACACCTGTGGCGGTGCTGCTCACTGCCTTCCAGCCAGAGGCCTGGCACTTCGGGCTGCTGGAGGACCACGGACGGGTTAAGGTTTAGGGTGGCTTTAAGGAGGACAGGCCTGCTTGAGGAGCAAAGCCCTCTGTGCCTGAAGACGGAGGCCAAAGCTCCAGAAAGGCTGCTCAAGGGAGGACACCTCGCCAGGTGGCCTTGCCCAGAGCGGACGTGAGCCAGCCGCCCGGACACTTCCTCAGCCATCTCTACCCAGACGGGTTTTTTAAAAAATGGATGGTTGTACTTTACGGGCGTTGAAGGTGTTTTCAGTGTCACTTCTGTTTCTTAGTAGGGTGTTTGATCATTTTTAGTATTTGTAAACTCACTGTCATGAGCTTTAATATTGTCTTTTGATGATGTAGGGCCACCTTGGGTCCTTTTAAGAAGAAAGCAGGGTAAAAATGTTATCCATCCATCCATCCATCCATCTGCTGGTCTTCAGCCCCAATGCAAGTGGCTGTGTTTCCTGCCAATGTGCAGAAGAGGGGGGGGGGCAGGAGGCTGCTCACCTCCTGATGCTGGCCATCAATGATCCCCATTTACTGCAAATGCAGAAAAATAAAATGAATAAATAAATAAAAGCGTGCCCCCACCACACAACCCTTGCAGAAATCAGCCACGAACGCCGGCTCAGGATGCAGCCTTCTGGCAAGGCACACACATGGGCCGTGGGGGCAAAGAGAGAGAGGTGACCCCCCTGAGGCCTTGTGGCTACCCTGGGCATTGCCCCCCCCTTGGTCCTGACCCACACCAGCCCAGTGAGGCACCCTGGGAGTCTTCAGGGGCCCCACAGTACCCACTCCAAGTGCAGCACCAAACCCAGCTGGAGCAGAACGACACCCCCCACGAAAGCCCAGAGGATCCACAGCCACTCTTTGCCCCCCCCCTTCCTTCACTCCCTCTCCCTCCTAAACTGGGGAGGGGGAGCGGCTGATGCTCAGACAGAGCACCTCCCCCTTTGCTGAGTGGGGCTCTGCCAGCAAGGGGGGGTCTTTCCTCCCCACAACCCACACTTGCCCCCCCTTGCCTTCCCAGGCTACCTGCTCTCTTTGCCACCACAGGCTACCCATGCCCTTGCCCACCAGCACACCTGCCTCCCCATGCCTGGGACGGGAGGTGCACGCAGGGCACCTTCCTAATGTCCAGGAAAAGTGCCCCTCCCTCTCACCCTCCCCTTTCCAGAGAAAGATAATTAGGCTCATAAAGCGGTTAAGGGGGGTGTGTGGGGCCCCCTTCCTTCCAGCAGACACACCAGGAGACATAAAGCTTAACGAGTCAAAGCTAATTGATCTCTCTCTCTCTCTCTCTCTCTCTCTCAGACACACTAGAATCCTTGAATGAGTTTAGAATGTCATTTAATAATTAGCAGCTGTTGCCCCCCTATAAACAAGAATCTTTCTGTTCTTCTTGTTGCCATCACTGAATATCACCATTAATGAACCCATATCCACATGAATGCTTATTATTCCCCCACCCGAGGCAATCCTGGCTGTAGGCAAGACCGGAAAAGCATCTTTCCTGGGGAAGCCAACCTCGGGACCCATCACATGTTCCTTGGCCCCCAAAATACCCCCAAAGAGGTACGGAGGGGGGGCTCAGGGTGAACGGCCAGCAGCCCAGGACCTGCTCTGCTTGGCCACCTGGAGTGCCCCCCCTCCAGAGTCGCAGGGCCCCGGGCCCCAAAAGGACTGGTTTCATGGCAAGCCCGCTCGGCTGGCTACCGAGTCAATAAGAGGGATTTGGGGGCAGAAGGCAGGCTGCGGCAGCTGCCAGAATCAGCCCTCGGGGGGGGGC